TGGTGAGAATTCAGAATTGTACAAATGGAGGGGCTAAGGGGCGGGGCGAAATATGGAATAATTTGGCTACAACTTCTTCTCTGGAACAAAGAGATAGATATCAACCATATTTGGTTGGAAGCATTCTCCAGTGGTGAGAATTCAGAATTGTACAAATGGAGGGGCTAAGGGGCGAAATATGGAGTAATTTGGCTTTATTGCTTTAAGCGACTTCTTCTCTGTAACTAAGAGATTGATATCAACCATATTTGGTTGGAAGCATTCTCCAGTGGTGAGAATTCAGAATTGTACAAATGGAGGGGCTAAGGGGCGGGGCGAAATATGGAGTAATTTGGCTTTATTGCTTTAAGCGACTTCTTCTCTGTAACTAAGAGATTGATATCAACCATATTTGGTTGGAAGCATTCTCCAGTGGTGAGAATTCAGAATTGTACAAATGGAGGGGCTAAGGGGCGGGGCGAAATATGGAGTAATTTGGCTTTATTGCTTTAAGCGACTTCTTCTCTGTAACTAAGAGATTGATATCAACCATATTTGGTTGGAAGCATTCTCCAGTGGTGAGAAGTCAGAATTGTACAAATGGAGGGGCTAAGGGGCGGGGCGAAATATGGAGTAATTTGGCTTTATTGCTTTAAGCGACTTCTTCTCTGTAACTAAGAGATTGATATCAACCATATTTGGTTGGAAGCATTTTCCAATGGTCGGGATTCAAATTGGAGAAATGAAGGGGCAACCTTGTCCATAACATGCAAACAGATATTATCCCCACCCTATAATATACATTTTACATTTATGCCAATTGGATTCTCCCTGGGGTCCGGCCTTGCCTCTGGAGACTGAGATCCTGGATCATAACATGGAAATGGTTCAGATCTTTATGCTATATTCATATCTAGAGAAATACATGTTCATGCTGTCAGATTTGTCATCCACCCATTTTAAATGCTGACAGAATCAAAATTACGAAATATTTGCAGTATTATATACATGTACAATGCAAATGTATATTTTGTCATGATTGCATAAATATACAGGCCTCTTGTTTTCTTTCTCTCACTCCCCTCTCCTCTAGTCATTGGTCAGTAAGTAATAACCTATGTAATTTCTCATTTCAGGAAAGGAGAATTGAGGAAGTGCGGAAGAACAAGAGTTCTCTGCAGTCCACAGGTGTTGATGCCTGAGCATGTGCTTGGTGACCAGTGGTCAGTTTCTGCTATTGTCCTGAGGCCAGCATCTCTGGTCACCTCCTGACCACCAAGGAAGACATACACACACTTAATGGAGTCTGAGTTGCTACTCTGTCAGCCAGTGACAGCAGCATTTATAATATTATTGTTTATTTGACTACATGATTCCAGCTCTTCATTTATCTGTATAGTGCTGTTCGTAAGGCATAGAAGTTAATCAACTCAGTTGTTTTTGAGTTGGACATGTTAAACCTGATGAAAATGCTGTAAAGTGATACCAGTTGGATGCCCTCTCCCTCCCTCGTTTTACACTGTCGTCTGTGGACACACAATTATTTCAGTACAGGTGTATTGCTGACTTGAATCTCCGTCTGTATGAATCTCTTTCTCTGTCTGTATTACTCTACAACTACTTTTTGCTTGTTCTGGACTTATTGTCCATCTTGGTGTTAATGAAAGAAGTGCAAATTTGTCATGTATTTCATACTGCCATTTTTATTATCATCCACAAGCTATGCATTATTTTTTCGTCAACCTAGATGATAGAAGGATTTCATACGCATGAAAGATTGTGTGCAAGCATTTCATCAGTAATAATTATTGTAGCCCTCCATCTCTCCACCATTCATTCCGTTCATGTATTGCCATGCCCAAGTTGTAGCTTTTATAGTCAACTTTTTAGTACAAGGTCAATTTGCGTGCTTTAAGAGGACAATCAACAGTATTGTAGTTAGTGGCGACATGCGTCTATTGCAGATGTTTTATCACTTGCCACCATTTCAGCATTGAAGGTTTCAATAATTGTTCACAAAACATCCAGCTCCTCATCAACCTGCAGCTGATTCAAACATGGATTATCTTGCCAACAAGCATGTTCTAATTTTTCACTCTGTGTGTATGTTGAAGTTAGAATACGCTGACAGTTCATTGTCCCGACATGTTTTCTAAAATTGATTAAACTTCCTTGAAACTGACCTTTTTATGAAACTCCATTTTATTGCAAGATTAATGCGTGATTAATGTGAATCCTTTTTAGTGTTTGGCAGTGATGAAGTAACATTGTGTGAGTGTCTCTGCTCAAGACGCATGTTACCACAAGATTGTATCATACGAGGAGTAGACCGGCAGTAGTCTAGTCAGCAGGCAATGTAGCCACTTTCAGTAGCACTGATAACGTCCCTTGTACATCCGAACAAGACTTTATCTTTACAGGGATGATGCCAGCACACTTGTATTGTGTAAAACCCGGCGGGTGACTAATTGATGGTTTGGAACACAGAGTGTTAAGGATCTATAAAGTGCTGAGTACAGGTTTTGTATGATGGACTGCTGTTGCAAAGTGTACTATGAACCATGTGCTAATGTGCGAGCTACGCTTGTTGCACCAACATGTATGTACGCCAGATTGTTGATTGTTACGCACAATGTTCAGAACTGTGTTATGCCAGTGGGACCAAGATGTGATTTTGTTTTTGTGCATCATAATTTGCAAAGGCCCCTTGCTTGTTTTTTCAGCATTTTGGAACTTAGTACATGTGAATAAAAATTTGGTTACTTGCCTTCTAATTACGCCGTTTGTTATTGCTTCAGTATGTCTGAAAATACACCAAGATGGATACAGAGTGGTTGTGCTGGACACTAAGGTTTGGAATGTGCATCTGCCAGTGTCTCTCAATGCATGTTAAGTTGTTTTTAACAATTAACACCTCTGAAGCAGCCTTACATACCTGATGTATGTGGAACAACTCACAGCATACATTACACTCAAGGATAAGGCCATTGTTTGAAGTAACTAAACTATGTAACTGGTTTGATATCCAGCCAACATTGAAAGGAATGGGTATAATAGGAAGATGATTTGTTTGTATTGCTGCTTAATTGGCAATACTCCAGCTACATGTATGTGAAGGCGGTCTGTGAATAGTCAAGTCTGGCCCAGAAACTCCTGTGATTGAATGCAATCAACCAAGTCACAGCTCTAACTGCCCAAGCCATTTAGACGCCTCTTAAGACAAGCACATCTATAGATTGCTGGGTAGCTCCTAGACACCAAGGATGGGAGCAAGATGAACGTGAATGTGTATTTAATGCTGTAAATGGTTTTCAATACTGTCAACTACAAATAAGATGCAGCTGCTCTCTATTATGGTGATTGTGAATGTTTACATAAATAAATAAATGTCTCCCCAGTGTATAGATGGCAACAACCATGCGTGGAGTTCAAAACGCAGCCGACTGACTGTTGTTTACAAACAAGTGATGACTGACCTGACGCCAAATACTCTTACCCCTGCTCAAATATTTTCCTTGTTTGTCAATTTGAATTTCTGTTTCATTACAATTATCTCAAACCAATCTGATCAAACAACCAGAATGGTAGATTCTAAATTTATTTAAGAAACATAGTCAGTCGTAAACATTCACTATGATCGCTTTCCCCAAGACGTAAACAAAAGCATAAACATGACTACATTAGGGGTCAGAGGGCAAATTTCAAGCTTAGGGACGAAAAATCAAAGGGAAACAACTCTCTATTAAGCTGTTTCCTTTCACAGCCAATAGTTTCCAGGGGAGGGTGCGCTTGCGCTACATTGCGCAGCCTATCCAGGGAGGTGCCGTTGTACAAGACAACCTTAGCGCTACGGCTGTCTAAGTCTGCGATAAGGATGCACAGCTCCTGGTTTAGCTGCAGACGTCCCAGGACACTTTAACCATAGCGAAACAACATGGATATAAACACAATGAAATAAAGTACAAGCAGTGTTGTTTTAGAATCCACAGAATTCTGACACCCCTGGGCATTCCGAGTAAGAATTGCAGGTCCCCAGCAACCTATGCTATTAGTGGCGACCGAATGGATCGGGGTGTCCAGCTCGGTGACTTGGTTGAATTGCATTGCGGCGTAGTCCAGTTGCGTGGATCGATGCTCAGGATATCGATCACTGGATTGTCTAGTCCATACTCGATTATTTACTGACAGCCGTCATGTTGCTCGAATATTAAAACAACAAACAACATTATCCTGACTTGAACTGTGAATGGATTAGCCTGGGTCTCGACGACTTATATGTATTTGGAATGGTAGGCATTAGCTGGCTACCAGCCATTGGAAGAAGAATATCACTTATGGATATGTGATGTTTTTGTCTCAGTGTCAATATAACTATTTTTGAGTGAGATGTTGAGGTATCATAGGACACTTGGCAACATTTGTAGTGTACAGTACGAAATGGGGTTGAACATGGCCTGTTTTTATGTTCCTATGATGTTTCTCACAAACCTCTATTAATTATTGGCAATAACTATCTACACTCGTGACCTACAGTGTCGCTTCGCGCAGTGAAGAGATTCATGACATAGGGCAGGCCATCACCGGGGGACAGACGGCTTATTTCCTTCAGCACATACTCCTCGTCCGAAAGTATACCCCTGTATATTAGATGTGACTGTGTGGTGCCATCATTGATCTAAATGTGATGTTAGGACATGGTATAGTTGTACACATTCTACATGTACGTGTACGGACATACACTTTTTTTTTGTAAAAGCCACGAAGCCCTGCAGCTCGCCTTCACTGGTAAGTATTTGTAGGTGGTAAACATTTAGGTTAGCTGGTTAAAATCTAGATTTAAACATTCAACGTCTATCATTTATACAACACCAGTCACGTGATATTAAATACCCAAAGGATCTCAAAAATGTATTTGGGACTGGGGAAAAGGTTCTGGCACACTTCGGCCAGCTTAAATGTATGGGCGTGGAATTTTCTTTTTCGTTAACTCTTTTATACCTTCAGAAGAAAACTAAATGCAGTTTAGTGAGTTGATCATTTTATTGCCAAATGACACATGATATAAATTATACAAATCGCAATACATAACAAAGGTAATTTGTAATAAACAACAGTGACACAACTGGTCCCAAAAAGTGCACCGGAGTTGAATCACTCCACACGAGACATCTGCCCGACTGAATCACCCCTCTGTGCGTCTCTACCTGTCCGGCCCCACAGACAACATGACTGGGTTCTGTCTGGGATACTTGTGACGAAACGACTCATGTATCTACCACGTAACTCTGTATACTTCACCAACGGGAAAATGAAATGGCATATTTACAATAATGAAGAAAACATATCCCGTCAATGTTGCAGTTTGATCTCAAATGGTCGTACGTGAAGAAACAGACGTTATTGGGCTCTGTGTTTATTTCAAGTTCTGAATAAAATTAATTATCTGATTAGCATAATCCCCTTTTTATGAAATATGCAATATGTGAAAATATTATATTATACCAAGACAGTGTAATGTTGACCGCTCTGAGTGGTTAGCGATAGTAGACAGATGTCGGACCATACGAGAGACTGCTTGCACGGAGTATTTCCGAATTGTTGACATGCGTACATGGGAATTTACTTTGTCGCGTATCATGTTGCCCACAGAGTGATACTTCAGTAGAAATAATCAAGTAGGCAGGCAGCCGCGACCAGTTGGATGTCTACAATGTCGTCAAACCCTGACGGGATGTTAACACTCACTCACTCACTCACTCACTCAGTCCACATATGATCAAAGTGTTCCGAGTGCAAATATGTTCCGAATAGAAAAGGTGATATATCTGTGAAAAAAGGCGCTGATATATACTCTACGATTACATCGTTCACGAAGCAAAGCACCATTTGGGTTGTTTTTGACCATAGTTTTAAAGATTTTAAGCTCCGATTCACATATCTTTATGCTGCGGTTAACAATTAGTTACTATAATCTACATATGTTAAGTAACACGACTGCAGATACAACACAGACAAATTCACCTAGTTCACCTAGTACCAGAGTGTTCTTGGAATATTGATATAACAGCAGCACACCGTCCTTGCAATGGCAAACATACTGTGTATCCCTCTGCTTATGTTTGAACCAGACATTATGTCAAAGTAAGATATCAACGTGCACATAGGCGACAGATGCGACTAGACGGTAAATGACGAAATGGTCTTTGAGGCTCGAGCCGGGCACATCTGCCGCCACAAATGTCCTGTCCGTATCACTGGCATGCGAGGGTATCGTTGATGGTGATGTTCAAGATTTTTCCAGCGCTCACGGTGGAGCCGACTTCGCACTTGGAGCAACAATGAAGGTCCGTCTTGTATATCTATTTCTGCCACGTTTCACCTAATGTTCTAAACTGGTAATAGTAGGTGCGACATATTATTTGCATGTGTTACATGAGTCCCTGAATCTTGCATAGCGTTTTCGGAAGAAGGTGGTAAACATGGAGACGCTGTTTGTTTCTACCGTTGGAAGAAGACAGCGAGCAAGGCAAGGCAGATGCAGCCAAGGAAAGAACAGTTCACAAATGATGCCGAGTCTGAAAAAGAACCAAATACAAGATTGATACTGTATTTCTATTCAACAATACAACAAGAACGTACACCAATTGTTGAAAAAGTCACGGCGCAATAAGTGACGAGTTGTAAAACACTACAGCATGTAATCAGTACGGAAGATTCAAGTATGTTTACAATTTGTGAAGCTTGTCAGCACCTGGACATGGAATGTGGTAGTCATCATCGACATCGTACTTGCAATGGTTTAACCTATAGGGACAGGTCCGCCCTGACTATTATCCTTGGTTTACCAGCACCATATATTGTCCTTCGGGCTTTTCTCAAATATTATATATGATAGGTTTCTATTTCTCACCCCCGAAGGACCATAGAGGTTCTTTTACCATACTTCGCATACTACAATGATAGTTGTTTTCAATTCCGATTTTTCAAGCCAGAACAAGCTGCGAGGCTTTGGAGTCTTTATGGACGTGGTTGGTATAGATATAGTATCTACTTACCGCACTGGGGGTATTTATCCTTGGCAGTGTCGATGTCATTCTGCACCCACTCGTTCTGCTTTGGGGTACATGCTCCCTTGACGTTCTCCAGGCAGTCTATCTTTTGTCGTATGTACCTGCAGCGATAGAGAGGATTCTGTAACACCACAACACAAGCAGTTAATCTTCTCTCATGTGTACCTACACAGGGAGACTCATTTAACACCACAACACAAGCAGTCAACCTCCCCATGTGTACCTACACAGGGAGACTCATTTAACACCACTACACAAGCCGTCAACCTCCCCATCTGTACATACACAGGGAGACTCATTTAACACCACAACACAAGCAGTCAACCTCCCCATATGTACCTACACAGGGAGACTCATTTAACACCACAACACAAGCAGTCAACCTCCCTTATGTGTACCTACACAGGGAGACTCATTTAACACCACAACACAAGCAGTCAACCTCCCCATGATTACCTACACAGGAAGACTCATTTAACACCACAACACAAGCAGTCAACCTCCCCCATGATTACCTACACAGGAAGACTCATTTAACACCACAACACAAGCAGTCAACCTCCCTTATGTGTACCTACACAGGGAGACTCATTTAACACCACAACACAAGCAGTCAACCTCCACCATGTGTACCTACACAGGAAGACTCATTTAACACCACAACACAAGCAGTCAACCTCCCTTATGTGTACCTACACAGGGAGACTCATTTAACACCACAACACAAGCAGTCAACCTCCACCATGTGTACCTACACAGGAAGACTCATTTAACACCACAACACAAGCAGTCAACCTCCCCCATGATTACCTACACAGGAAGACTCATTTAACACCACAACACAAGCAGTCAACCTCCCCATGGTTACCTACACAGGGAGACTCATTTAACACCCCAACACAAGCAGGCAACCTCCCCCATGTGAACCTATACAGGGAGACTCATTTAACACCACAACACAAGCAGTCAACCTCCCCATGTGTACCTACACAGGGAGACTCATTTAACACCACAACACAAGCAGTCAACCTCCCCATATGTACCTACACAGGGAGACTCATTTAACACCACAACACAAGCAGTCAACCTCCCCATGTGAACCTATACAGGGAGACTCATTTAACACCACAAAACAAGCAGTCAACCTCCCCCATGTGTACCTACACAGGGGGACTTATTTAACACCACAACACAAGCAGTCAACCTCCCCATATGTACCTACACAGGGAGACTCATTTAACACCACAACACAAGCAGTCAACCTCCCCCATGATTACCTACACAGGAAGACTCATTTAACACCACAACACAAGCAGTCAACCTCCCTTATGTGTACCTACACAGGGAGACTCATTTAACACCACAACACAAGCAGTCAACCTCCCCCATGATTACCTACACAGGAAGACTCATTAACACCACAACACAAGCAGTCAACCTCCACCATGTGTACCTACACAGGGAGACTCATTTAACACCACAACACAAGCAGTCAACCTCCACCATGTGTACCTACACAGGGAGACTCATTTAACACCACAACACAAGCAGTCAACCTCCCTTATGTGTACCTACACAGGGAGACTCATTTAACACCACAACACAAGCAGTCAACCTCCCCCATGATTACCTACACAGGAAGACTCATTTAACACCACAACACAAGCAGTCAACCTCCCTTATGTGTACCTACACAGGGAGACTCATTTAACACCACAACACAAGCAGTCAACCTCCCCCATGATTACCTACACAGGAAGACTCATTAACACCACAACACAAGCAGTCAACCTCCACCATGTGTACCTACACAGGGAGACTCATTTAACACCACAACACAAGCAGTCTACCTCCACCATGTGTACCTACACAGGGAGACTCATTTAACACCACAACACAAGCAGTCAACCTCCCCCATGTGAACCTATACAGGAAGACTCATTTAACACCACAACACAAGCAGTCAACCTCCCTTATGTGTACCTACACAGGGAGACTCATTTAACACCACAACACAAGCAGTCAACCTCCCCATATGTACCTACACAGGGAGACTCATTTAACACCACAACACAAGCAGTCAACCTCCCTTATGTGTACCTACACAGGGAGACTCATTTAACACCACAACACAAGCAGTCAACCTCCCCCATGATTACCTACACAGGAAGACTCATTTAACACCACAACACAAGCAGTCAACCTCCTTTATGTGTACCTACACAGGGAGACTCATTTAACACCACAACACAAGCAGTCAACCTCCACCATGTGTACCTACACAGGAAGACTCATTTAACACCACAACACAAGCAGTCAACCTCCACCATGTGTACCTACACAGGAAGACTCATTTAACACCAACAACACAAGCAGTCAACCTCCCTTATGTGTACCTACACGGGGAGACTCATTTAACACCACAACACAAGCAGTCAACCTCCCCATATGTACCTACACAGGGAGACTCATTTAACACCACAACACAAGCAGTCAACCTCCCCCATGATTACCTACACAGGAAGACTCATTTAACACCACAACACAAGCAGTCAACCTCCCCATGGTTACCTACACAGGGAGACTCATTTAACACCCCAACACAAGCAGGCAACCTCCCCCATGTGAACCTATACAGGGAGACTCATTTAACACCACAACACAAGCAGTCCACCTCCCCATGTGTACCTACACAGGGAGACTCATTTAACACCACAACACAAGCAGTCAACCTCCCCATATGTACCTACACAGGGAGACTCATTTAACACCACAACACAAGCAGTCAACCTCCCCATGTGAACCTATACAGGGAGACTCATTTAACACCACAAAACAAGCAGTCAACCTCCCCCATGTGTACCTACACAGGGGGACTTATTTAACACCACAACACAAGCAGTCAACCTCCCCATATGTACCTACACAGGGAGACTCATTTAACACCACAACACAAGCAGTCAACCTCCCCCATGATTACCTACACAGGAAGACTCATTTAACACCACAACACAAGCAGTCAACCTCCCTTATGTGTACCTACACAGGGAGACTCATTTAACACCACAACACAAGCAGTCAACCTCCCCCATGATTACCTACACAGGAAGACTCATTAACACCACAACACAAGCAGTCAACCTCCACCATGTGTACCTACACAGGGAGACTCATTTAACACCACAACACAAGCAGTCAACCTCCACCATGTGTACCTACACAGGGAGACTCATTTAACACCACAACACAAGCAGTCAACCTCCACCATGTGTACCTACACAGGGAGACTCATTTAACACCACAACACAAGCAGTCAACCTCCCCCATGATTACCTACACAGGAAGACTCATTTAACACCACAACACAAGCAGTCAACCTCCCTTATGTGTACCTACACAGGGAGACTCATTTAACACCACAACACAAGCAGTCAACCTCCCCCATGATTACCTACACAGGAAGACTCATTAACACCACAACACAAGCAGTCAACCTCCACCATGTGTACCTACACAGGGAGACTCATTTAACACCACAACACAAGCAGTCTACCTCCACCATGTGTACCTACACAGGGAGACTCATTTAACACCACAACACAAGCAGTCAACCTCCCCCATGTGAACCTATACAGGAAGACTCATTTAACACCACAACACAAGCAGTCAACCTCCCTTATGTGTACCTACACAGGGAGACTCATTTAACACCACAACACAAGCAGTCAACCTCCCCATATGTACCTACACAGGGAGACTCATTTAACACCACAACACAAGCAGTCAACCTCCCTTATGTGTACCTACACAGGGAGACTCATTTAACACCACAACACAAGCAGTCAACCTCCCCCATGATTACCTACACAGGAAGACTCATTTAACACCACAACACAAGCAGTCAACCTCCTTTATGTGTACCTACACAGGGAGACTCATTTAACACCACAACACAAGCAGTCAACCTCCACCATGTGTACCTACACAGGAAGACTCATTTAACACCACAACACAAGCAGTCAACCTCCACCATGTGTACCTACACAGGAAGACTCATTTAACACCAACAACACAAGCAGTCAACCTCCCTTATGTGTACCTACACGGGGAGACTCATTTAACACCACAACACAAGCAGTCAACCTCCCCATATGTACCTACACAGGGAGACTCATTTAACACCACAACACAAGCAGTCAACCTCCACCATGTGTACCTACACAGGGAGACTCATTTAACACCACAACACAAGCAGTCAACCTCCCCCATGATTACCTACACAGGAAGACTCATTAACACCACAACACAAGCAGTCAACCTCCACCATGTGTACCTACACAGGGAGACTCATTTAACACCACAACACAAGCAGTCAACCTCCCCCATGATTACCTACACAGGAAGACTCATTTAACACCACAACACAAGCAGTCAACCTCCCTTATGTGTACCTACACAGGGAGACTCATTTAACACCACAACACAAGCAGTCAACCTCCCCCATGATTACCTACACAGGAAGACTCATTAACACCACAACACAAGCAGTCAACCTCCACCATGTGTACCTACACAGGGAGACTCATTTAACACCACAACACAAGCAGTCTACCTCCACCATGTGTACCTACACAGGGAGACTCATTTAACACCACAACACAAGCAGTCAACCTCCCCCATGTGAACCTATACAGGAAGACTCATTTAACACCACAACACAAGCAGTCAACCTCCCTTATGTGTACCTACACAGGGAGACTCATTTAACACCACAACACAAGCAGTCAACCTCCCCATATGTACCTACACAGGGAGACTCATTTAACACCACAACACAAGCAGTCAACCTCCCTTATGTGTACCTACACAGGGAGACTCATTTAACACCACAACACAAGCAGTCAACCTCCCCCATGATTACCTACACAGGAAGACTCATTTAACACCACAACACAAGCAGTCAACCTCCTTTATGTGTACCTACACAGGGAGACTCATTTAACACCACAACACAAGCAGTCAACCTCCCCCATGATTACCTACACAGGAAGACTCATTTAACACCACAACACAAGCAGTCAACCTCCCTTATGTGTACCTACACAGGGAGACTCATTTAACACCACAACACAAGCAGTCAACCTCCCCCATGTGAACCTACACAGGGAGACTCATTTAACACCACAACACAAGCAGTCAACCTCCACCATGTGTACCTACACAGGAAGACTCATTTAACACCACAACACAAGCAGTCAACCTCCACCATGTGTACCTACACAGGAAGACTCATTTAACACCAACAACACAAGCAGTCAACCTCCCTTATGTGTACCTACACGGGGAGACTCATTTAACACCACAACACAAGCAGTCAACCTCCCCATATGTACCTACACAGGGAGACTCATTTAACACCACAACACAAGCAGTCAACCTCCACCATGTGTACCTACACAGGGAGACTCATTTAACACCACAACACAAGCAGTCAACCTCCCTTATGTGTACCTACACAGGGAGACTCATTTAACACCACAACACAAGCAGTCAACCTCCCCCATGATTACCTACACAGGAAGACTCATTTAACACCACAACACAAGCAGTCAACCTCCACCATGTGTACCTACACAGGGAGACTCATTTAACACCACAACACAAGCAGTCAACCTCCACCATGTGTACCTACACAGGGAGACTCATTTAACACCACAACACAAGCAGTCAACCTCCCCCATGTGAACCTATACAGGAAGACTCATTTAACACCACAACACAAGCAGTCAACCTCCCTTATGTGTACCTACACAGGGAGACTCATTTAACACCACAACACAAGCAGTCAACCTCCCCATATGTACCTACACAGGGAGACTCATTTAACACCACAACACAAGCAGTCAACCTCCCTTATGTGTACCTACACAGGGAGACTCATTTAACACCACAACACAAGCAGTCAACCTCCCCCATGATTACCTACACAGGAAGACTCATTTAACACCACAACACAAGCAGTCAACCTCCCTTATGTGTACCTACACAGGGAGACTCATTTAACACCACAACACAAGCAGTCAACCTCCCCCATGATTACCTACACAGGAAGACTCATTTAACACCACAACACAAGCAGTCAACCTCCCTTATGTGTACCTACACAGGGAGACTCATTTAACACCACAACACAAGCAGTCAACCTCCCCATATGTACCTACACAGGGAGACTCATTTAACACCACAACACAAGCAGTCAACCTCCCCATGGTTACCTACACAGGGAGACTCATTTAACACCCCAACACAAGCAGGCAACCTCCCCCATGTGAACCTATACAGGGAGACTCATTTAACACCACAACACAAGCAGTCAACCTCCCCATGTGTACCTACACAGGGAGACTCATTTAACACCACAACACAAGCAGTCAACCTCCCCATATGTACCTACACAGGGAGACTCATTTAACACCACAACACAAGCAGTCAACCTCCCCATGTGAACCTATACAGGGAGACTCATTTAACACCACAAAACAAGCAGTCAACCTCCCCCATGTGTACCTACACAGGGGGACTTATTTAACACCACAACACAAGCACTCAACCTCCCCCATATTTACCTACCCAGGGAGACTCATTTAACACTACAACACAAGCAGTCTACCTCCACCATGTGTACCTAACAGGGAGACTCATTTAACACCACAACACAAGCAGTCAACCTCCCCCATGTGAACCTACACAGGGAGACTCATTTAACACCACAACACAAGCAGTCAACCTCCACCATGTGTACCTACACAGGGAGACTCATTTAACACCACAACACAAGCAGTCAACCTCCCTTATGTGTACCTACACAGGGAGACTCATTTAACACCACAACACAAGCAGTCAACCTCCACCATGTATACCTACACAGGGAGACTCATTTAACACCACAACACAAGCAGTCTACCTCCACCATGTGTACCTACACAGGGAGACTCATTTAACACCACAACACAAGCAGTCTACCTCCACCATGTGTACCTACACAGGGAGACTCATTTAACACCACAACACAAGCAGTCAACCTCCACCATGTGTACCTACACAGGAAGACTCATTAACACCACAACACAAGCAGTCAACCTCCCTTATGTGTACCTACACAGGGAGACTCATTTAACACCACAACACAAGCAGTCAACCTCCCCATATGTACCTACACAGGGAGACTCATTTAACACCACAACACAAGCAGTCTACCTCCACCATGTGTACCTACACAGGGAGACTCATTTAACACCACAACACAAGCAGTCAACCTCCACCATGTGTACCTACACAGGAAGACTCATTAACACCACAACACAAGCAGTCAACCTCCCTTATGTGTACCTACACAGGGAGACTCATTTAACACCACAACACAAGCAGTCAACCTCCACCATGTGTACCTACACAGGGAGACTCATTTAACACCACAACACAAGCAGTCTACCTCCACCATGTGTACCTACACAGGGAGACTCATTTAACACCACAACACAAGCAGTCAACCTCCCCATATGTACCTACACAGGGAGACTCATTTAACACCACAACACAAGCAGTCAACCCCCCCCCCCATGGTTACCTACACAGGGAGACTCATTTAACACCACAACACAAGCAGTCTAGCTCCACCATGTGTACCTACACAGGGAGACTCATTTAACACCACAACACAAGCAGTCAACCTCCCTTATGTGTACCTACACAGGGAGACTCATTTAACACCACAACACAAGCAGTCTACCTCCACCATGTGTACCTACACAGGGAGACTCATTTAACACCACAACACAAGCAGTCTACCTCCCCATGGTTACCTACACAGGGAGACTCATTTAACACCACAACACAAGCAGTCAACCTCCCCATGATTACCTACACAGGGAGACTCATTTAACACCGCAACACAAGCAGTCAACCTCCCCCATGTGAACCTATACAGGGAGACTCATTTAACACCACAACACAAGCAGTCAACCTCCCCCATGTGAACCTATACAGGGAGACTCATTTAACACCACAACACAAGCAGTCAACCTCCCTTATGTACCTACACAGGGAGACTCATTTAACACCCCAACACAAGCAGTCAACCTCCCCATATGTACCTACACAGGGAGACTCATTTAACACCCCAACACAAGCAGGCAACCTCCCCCAAATGTGTACCTACACAGGGAGACTCATTTAACACCCCAACACAAGCAGGCAACCTCCCCCAAATGTGTACCTACACAGGGAGACTCATTTAACACCCCAACACAAGCAGGCAACCTCCCCCAAATGTGTACCTACACAGAGAGACTCATTTAACACCCCAACACAAGCAGGCAACCTCCCTCCATTATACCCTCTCTCACACACACACACATATACACTCACTCTGTCACACACACACATACACACTCACTCCCTGTCAAACACATACACACACTCACTCACTTACTCTCTGTCACACACACACACACACACTCACTGTCACACACACAAATACACACTCACTCTGTCACACACATACACACACACACTCACTTTCACACACATACACACACACACACACTCACTCTCTCTCTCTCTCTCTCTCACACACACACACACACACACACACACACACACACACACACACACACACACGTCATCAGCACACCAAGTTGACATCCGCCCCCTCTCATGACGTATGATCCCAAACAGCAGTCCTACCAGCAGAAGGTTCCCTCATCAATGCCTGTACGTGATGCTTGTCTGGAGAACACTTGGTTACATTCAGTCGCCTTGATACACTGCGATACACCGCGGACGGTGCTCATGAGGTGGACTGAAACATAAACGTGACATGCACATGACTGTGTAGGAAGCATGCCAGGCTTTTAAGATACACACAAGGAAATAACTAAGCACCCTGTGTTTGCGACAATCTATGTGCACCAACGTGGTATCACAACATGGGCACGTCGTGGTTACACTCGCAACTGATTCGAAGGATTTGTGAGTTGTCTTCATGAGATTACAATGAACGTTCTGGGGCTTAGTAATTGTTGTTCCCATTTTGACTCATTACAGTACTGATGAAATACTGTGTTATTCACGTACTTATTGACCACTGCCATCTTTATCTGTGCTTTCTTTCGTCAAGAGCCTCATCTTCCGCGAGTACTGCCATGTTGTTAGACATACATGGTCGAAGAAACGGGGACTGCTTCATTTCCAGGTGTATAGAATAATAACGATCGGTTTTTGTAAAATCAGTAAACCTGAGGTTTGTACACGACGTCAAGCTAAATGTTTATTCCTAAGTGTGAGAGAGTGAGTAGAGTGTTTCAATTATGTCGCGACGGGTCAGATTAATGTGCGGGGAACTAATGGAGTGGACGTTGACATCTTCAGTGAAACACAAGAGTGCCTATATGGTATTTGTGAGGTGAAAAGGGGTTTAACGTCGCGTTCAAGAATATTGCACTTTTATCGCGAATTGCATGCGTGTGTATGTGTGTCTGTGTTTGTGAGTGAGTGAGTGAGTGAGTGAGTGAGTGAGTGTGTGTGTGTGTGTGTGTGTGTGTGTGTGTGTGTGTGTGTGTGTGTGTGTGTGTGTGTGTGTGTGTGTCTGCTTGTACTAGTCCGACTAATGCCGATTTTATAGTGCTAGCCCATTGAGAAACCATGCCGTAGTTTAACACGAATACCCAATTCAGACACAGTGTACTGACTCCGAGGAGTCAGTCCTTGTTTCAACCACTTATGCCGAGCGCCAGGCAGGGTAACAACAAGTACCATCTTTTAGCGTCTTTTGGTATGATGCGGCCGGACATCGAACCTCACGAGTCGGTCCGGTATGGAACTGACATGTATCAGTAGATCCTGGCTCGAATGGGCACAACGATTCGGTTTGTAGAGACGCAGTTCAAGTTTGTTATGCATCCTATCTCACGATATGAAATTACGTTTCAACCAGGCCCCGTAAGGATTCCGGGCCAGAATAGGTACCCAGTCTCTCCATGCTGTAAGAGCCCACTAATGATCACTGGCTAGTTACACCGTGTCACCGCTGCTGATCATGTATGTGATATCGTACTCAGACGACGTGGATCGTTGCTGATGTTGTTGACCCTACCCCTTATATACATGCCGTCTTGGAATATCACTGCGGCGCACCACAACATGCATATACTACAACCGCTGGTTCTTCACAGGAACTTCAACTATCAGTTCTCCACATTTCGCTACTACGGGAATCGAACCAAGTTGATATTGTGATACGAGAGGTGGGGTCCAGGTTAACACGTGGTTCCTGCAACGAGGTATGGCACTATCTGTTGTCTGTTAGATGAGGGGCGGCGCCTAGAGATCTCCCATCCAACCATCAATATTCCAGCTTTATGACGGCGGTTCATAAATAGTCGAGTCTGGACCAGACAATCCAGTGACTGACATCATGAGCATCGATTCAGGCAATTTGGATATGACATGCAATCAAGCCTTCCCACTCAATCCACTTACTCGCCTCTTATGACAAGCATCGGCTGCTGTGGACCGGCATCCTTACCCGGGATCCCTACGGGTCTTATCCTGAGAGTTTGATGGCAAACCACAAGAGAGATTTATGGCCAGGTTCACTACAGTGCCGATTATGGCTCCCGTTTGAGATCAGACAGCGCTACGACCCGAAAAGTGAAAAAGTCGGATTACTATCCTCAATGACCGATATGGAATGTCCTATCATTGTCTGAACGCAGTCGTATACGTGCTACCCCCATCACAACAAACTAGTTCTCAATACTTTCGTGAAAATGTTGTCGAACGGGCTCCAACTGTGTATGAACGTAGTGGACGTAGTAACAACTATCGACAGTCTTTTTACGAACTTCATGGACGGGCTCGGACGGGGAGGGTGCTCTAGAACTTTGAGTCTGCTAAAAATTGTATCCCGTCCATCCCGTTCTGCAATTAGTCGGACTGACAACGTACTTAAAACGAGAAAGACGTATTACGAACAGAATTGCCGTACTTCGAACGGAATTGCCGCACTTCGAACCTACTAGGGACGTGTTACGACGAGGTGCAGTCGGACATAAATTTCAGTACGTGTGCACACCGACAGGGTCGACTTCTCTTTGGAGGCATGATGTGTACAGCTCGGGGCCCTGAACTTGAATGAAGACTGGCTACAACGCGCTCGGTACCCATAGGAGTCGAGCCAGGACGGGCCAGGACGCGAATACACACGCACTTGGGACGAGATGAGGACGTATTGCGAACGAGTTGGTCGGGTTAAGAATTAGTTAGAACTGGCTTGGACGTATTGTGGACGAGATAGAGCGAGGTTGAGCTGGTTAAGAACGGGTTCAGAACGGCTACGGACGTGCTCGAACTGCTTCGAAACGTTGTCGGGATGAGGTGAAAGGGCACTTTTACACATCTGAACTGGATATATACAAGGACTGCAGACTGGCTAAGAACGAGATAAGAACGAGATAGACGTATTGAGGACTGCTTATGAACGAACTAGCATCGTATTTTACGCCAAACTACGCGTTCTACCGTGATCACAGCCCGTTCTAGTATTTTGTTTAGAACGGGGTAGAACGGGATAGAACTACTTTAGTGTGATGGTAGCATTCGTAACAGTCCTACGGATCGAGAAAGGTCCAGAGAGGTCGCGGCCAAGCACTCCCGTAACATTCGGGAAACTCAGCCGATTATGTCTAGTCGGACTACAATCGTGACTATGCCGTGACAGATTCTGCTGTATCGGATCAAAATCGTAACAATGTCCTGTGTTGTCTGGACGGTGTCTTGTGGATCGGAACGCTGGCGTGATGAACGGGCATGAATTGTTCATTGCCGTTTCTTGTTGCTTGAGTCCAGATTGCGTCCAGATCTTGCCGAATGCGAACCGTCTTTGTCGGTTCACTGTCCGATCACTGTCGGATCTATGTCGGATCGCATTCGGGAGAATAGGGACACCGTCGGGACAGATTCGGTTGTTATTTACCATGCGGAAGAAACAAATCAGATCAGATTCGGATTGAAAACGGGAGAATCGGGCCGAATTCGGCTGGGACGCTTTCTGAACAATATATCTGATTGTGAATTTCCCGCCACAAATCACAGGATCTTGATCAGACTTTTGACAAATTTTTATGGGGAATGCTCCTATCATGGACGGCAGTAAAAATCCTGAATGCGTGACTGAGCCCATATTTGTCACACAAATATTTCACCATACTGATAAAATTGTCACGTGTGTAAATAGTGAATTGTACAGGCTTTTTCGAGCTGACAGTTCGTGTACAATAAGTGTATTTGTTTGCAAGCCCATTCAGCTTTAAATCCCACACACGCCGCTGTGGACACACAATTAATACTTTTACAACACCTTGCTCATCAGTTCATCACACAAACATCCTACACCTCCACACTAATCGTTATCATGCTTATGACTGCTTACACAAGTAAAGTTACGATTGTATAAACTTTAAGTGATATTTTCAGCATGTAGATAGACATTAGTATTGAAGTTCGAGGATGTATCCACTTGGTCCTAAATAAAGGTGTTCATATCAATCCCGTCATTATTTATCAGCGCTACACTCTGACGCAGACATTTTTATCTAAACGTGGGTGGTAACAGGCTTTTCAAACCCCGACTTCTACAACGCCAACTGCACTGGCCTACTAGCTCCATGATTAGTAGCACAGCCTGCAGATTTAGCAATAGGCTAATCAGAGCCCTTCACCTACACGACAGTGAACACTTACAAGCTGACCTAGCTAGTGCTATAGGTGTGGCCAACATTCATCGATTTTATGGTGAGGCTTTTCACCCTTTAGTCGTGTTATATCGAGGGTTTATATTGTGTCCGAGGTTGCCAGGAGATAGACTTAAGACGTAAAAAATTACATTTTCGATTACGTCCACAGCATCTAAACCTAATGCATTTTATCTGGATTAAAAGTTTTATCCCGAATTTTAATAGTTTGCGGAAATATTAGGACAACCTTATAAATCATCGATCGGAACATATTTGATTTCGTTGATAAATATTCAATAATTCATCTATATTTCACGTCCGTCGTGAAGTCGCCTTGACTTGCAGCTGAAAAGTACAGACAATATTACCATAGACGCGATACTTGTGGTTAATATTTGGATGTTTCAGAAATAAGGCGGATATATCTGTAGTGTGCTGCATTGTAGGATACGGTGACTTGAAGTGCGTCGCTGATAGTACCTGGTTGACCGCATGGCGCTCATATTTCAAAACAGTAATGTGAAAGGGTGGATTTATGTTGGTATATTCAACTCTTCAGCATACCGAGGACATTTTACAGTGTAGACTCACAACTGTACAGTACATGACGTATCACGTGATCAAGAAATGTACATACGCTGACAGGTGATACGCCCATTAGTGACGAATGGTTATGGCTAAAAATAACTTGAGCAAAATTCCGCCTAAACGAGCACAAGCGAGCACGATTAATCATAATAGTGACAGAACATGCAGTTTTTAGGAAATGCAAGGAGAGAGAAACATTCTCTTGGCTCCTAATGTAGCGACAATGCAACCCATCACCACCGCCTACAATTACTTGTCTGTTACGACAGGTATTTCTGACTTTTTAAACGTGTCATCCCGTAAATATGAATAACGACTTTCAGATCAACCACAAGTCACGAGACACACTGTTACTCCGTGCCAAGCTGGTCAGGGCCCGTGTTTTAGTGGAAGTATAGCGACAATGTTCCCACAGCTAAAACGCTAAACAGAAACATCACCTGCCGTTACACTTGGCTACACTTCTCAAGTACGGGCAGGACAACAACGACTAGACTGGGTCAGGACGTTTATAGTAATATATACACAATGAAGAAATGTCGTGATCATCGTCAGACACAATACAAGATGGCTTACCTGAACACAGTATTGCCAAAACGTATTTCATTTTCAGGTATGAAGACTAGGAATCCCCCAAGTCCGCGACTGTTGCACGACCTCCTGGTCTGAGCTGTATCTGTCGTCTGCGCCAGGTACGAAGCGTGTCCTACTTACTCGTTGCCGTATATACTCTGCAGAATTACCCGCGAACAGGTAGACGGTGCAGGTTACATGAACTGTGGAGTCATTAGGGGCTTTTCGATAAGGATCAATATTAGAACCCTCAGACGCTGTTCCAACACATTTCGACACATAGCCTGAGGCTTCAGTTGGACAGTTTTACAACACTATCCGTATGGATTTGCTGCAGATTCGATCGCGAGTATTGACTGTACATGGGTCAGTAGACCCGTAATTTATAATGTAGGCTGTATTTTTATCAGATCCGTACTGATAATGGACAGCAATAACCTACGCGATACCCTCGATGCTGCTGACGCCTGGGTCCACTCGCACAAATTCATCAACCTGAGACTCCATAACATAACCTTTAAGGTTAAGCGCCAGGCAGGGTAACAACAAGTGCCGTCTACACACACATTTTGGTATGACATTGGCGAACAACTGACCTTCAGGGACCCGGCATGCAGTCTCCAACCGATGCCTTAGTCGGTTGTAAGATATTAACGACGTTGTAAAGGGCGCACAGCACAATACACACGAAGTGATAAACTGGAGAAGATATTGTATTGTGCCCAAAATGTTATTAATATAAAACGAATTGACTCAGGGCCGCGTTCAAGACCTTTACAAATTGTCCAAAGTAAAAAAATCTAGCTGGCTTAATTGGGAAACGAGAAAAGTGTCTTCCGCTTGTGTATGCCATGAGTAAGTATTTCGTTAAAGTAGTGAGTTTCAGCGCCATCACCTCCCTGTGACACCCATTTTGTACAAAACACTGTATACATGTACATCATACATGTATTACTGAATCACTGCGGTAACTTCTAATTAACCTTGTGTGAGTGCGCGTCCAACCGTGCATTTAGGGTTGTAATCCGTTTGCACTTTAAGATGCAGTTGAGGCAAAATGGAGTTTATTATTTGTTCAACCGTAAGTGTTGTGGAACAATGAATACTTATGCCCCGAGTAAGTATTCAGTTAAAGAAGTTTAACGCAACCTGTGTCTATGTTATAAGCCATTTGTACTTCAAGACTCAGTTGAGGCTAAGTAGAGTTATGCCCCTTAGTTAACCATTCATCGGCTATTTCACAACACACTGATGTATTCTGAAATGCCAGAACTGCAGTGTTGATGATAAGATTGTGAGATGGGAAATCCAAGGGAAGTAAACATGCTGACCTTGTCAACTATTCCATGTATGCAAATTATTTGTACTTACGCCCTGTGTTTTATTTATCACCCTGATATATAAGGCAGGAGTTGATATTTCCAAAAGAGGTCCGGAGGGGTCTGGGTTATCATGAATTCTCGAATTTACATCCCCCCAACTCCAACAATAGACCTTTTTGTCGGCAGCTTCAATTTAGAACCAAAATGGTAGATATGGTGTTTGGCTGATCGGGTACACTTGCCCAGACAATGGCTCTAGATACCAGTAAGTGGTATACTTATTGAGTCATTTGAACAGACATTATAAATTAGTTGATGCTTATTCATATCGAGTAATGGCGAAGTCTCCCATTCAAATCTCTCATTTTACTACACACACATAGACATGGCGAACATCGTCAACACTTAATATTCTTGTCAAAAGTCAACATGGAAATTTGAAATTGCTTGCTCCCATGTCAAGAAAAACGGTCAGATATCAATCTTTAACTTGTGTCTATTTAAACGTTAATCGAAACCTACGTTGTTTGACTGCATGACACATGTCATGATGTATATCATTTTTGTGGTTAATTGTTTATAACTAAATTACAAATGATTACTTGACATTTGACTGGCTAACCAAGCAATGGTGTTTGGGTTTATGTTTCAACAAAACAAAAAGAAACATTCCACGCTATTTCCTGATTGGCTGATTGGGTGGGGCTAGTATTTGATTATTGCGCTGAACAATGTCATTGATTTCGTGTTGTTGTCACAAGATTTGTTGGAGTTAATGATTAAATATGCAGCCTGTGAAGGTTTTTTTTTGTTAACGTATATATTTATAAAAAAAATGATTTAAATATGTTTGTGCGTTTATGAAGTGAAAACTTAAAACCCGGTGTGCACACATTGATGTACCTCAACAAACGCAAAAAATATATTAAACTCAATTTTTAACACACAAGCCATCTACTACAAGATGCACGTACATATGTAGGCGGGAATATTCACTAAACTCAGAGCCAAGCATCCATTGAACCAGATTCATAGCATTTATTGTGAAATCCTCTTTTCTGTTGTATGTTCGAATTATTGTGATCAGATATACGTTTGTAGCAGAATACTATCTGTCAAGTTAACGTGTATCATTTTAGCTCTCTTCAAACGATGCTCGTATTAGAACTAGCGTTTTATGTCGAACAAGGTATTCCTTTTAGAAACGAAATTTTTGAAATAAAGATTTATACGAATATGTAACACTCTGTACTGATAGGTAAATCCTGTGTGTAGGGGGTGTGGGGTGTGGGGGTGTGGGGGACTTTAAATGCTGAAAATATATTTGGCTTCGAACATTTTCACAAATATATAACAACAATAATGAGCTATTTTATGTCATATAGATGGAATATTGCTGAGTGCGAAGTTAAACAATCAAACAAACGAACAAACAAAAATGATACAGATAACATAGGCGATGTAACATGCATCTGAATAACCCATCAAATTATTCCCCTTTAATTGAACTTTTATTACCTTAATCAGAACTTTAGATTTCTGTGCTGTGAATATATAGGATATTCATTGCTAGGTTACCATGCGTATTATACTTGTCGGTAGCGTCTCTACCGCTGAACTGTCAAAGGGGATTCATGTCTTGGGATTTTCCTCCCTTTGGTTCAAGGAAATGGAAGCGTGGAATCACATTGCATATTTAATCGAGACGAACAATAAAGAAAATAGCTTGCATAGACCTGTAGTTAGTCTTCAACTTGGTATATATAACATTGTCACTGTCAGTTTACCACAGATCATTGATACGTCATACATATTTTAATGTTTCTGCTATGAAAACACTTTTTGATCAAGTTGATATAGCCGTATTAAAATACCTTTTCTCAGAAGGAAGGAATCTATACTACATTATAATATATCTATCTCTTTTCCCCCGTGATATAGGACTTTATATGTTGTGATGATTTTGACATCAAATTTACAATAATTGTTCTTTATGTGCAAATGCTGGGTTTGCAAACTAGTTCTCGCCGTGAAAAGATGTACAATTGCTGATGCTGTGTAAAGCAATATCATTCATTCATTCATTCCGCTATAGCTGTTAAGAAAGGGAGATAATTTACTGAACAAGGGGAGATAAACTCCAAAATTTGTAATCAAACTACTCACAATATTGCCAACATCTTCTGAACATTGATTCGCGTCTGCATTTGTTCCATTGTTACGTACTTTAGCTCATACATCTATGATATGAAAGATACAGCTGGTTTACTACAACAAAGGTCGAATACGCCACGAGAAGTCATATGGGGTGCTACCGGCACATATACCAGTCTTTCCCAACTCCATGAAGCCTTTATATATGGGGCGGTGGGAGTTGCCTGTAGTGGTTAACGCATAGCTAACATTAATATCACTCACTAGCACCGTACGTTAGAATAAAGACAATCAGCCGAACGGTTTGACTTGGCCACCAATCTCATTAAAATCTGACCTTAGTTCTCGCTACCGCTAAACAGTTTGTTTAGCGGTAGCAGAGACCATATAATAGATTTATAATCTATTATATGGTCTCTGGCGGTAGCGAGAACTGAGATCTGATTTTAATCATATTGTTTGGCCACATAAGATACATGGGTTATATATATAAAAAAAACCATTTAATTTCTATTTTCGTACTCTCCACTACCCAGAGTTCCATGCGGCCGGCAGCCAGCCAGCTTAGTTATGGTGAGTCACCACGGATACGCAACAGCCGGCGGATACCAGTTTACAGCTGATGAATGTCGTAAAATATATTCAATAATAATCTCTAAGATTTAGAGTTGTGTACGATATATTCAATTGTATAATATGTGAAAGCTATGATATAAGGATTCATTTTGTAAACATTCCGCGAATGTCGTAAAGGTAAACACACGCCATTCGAAGACAGTAAGGTCAGAATTAAGATTCGTTGTACCCAGAGACCATATAATCTATTATATGGTCTCTGGTTGTACAATACGTCTTTGGTTGTACTGAAATGTAACAGTAACTGTACTGAAATGTAATAGCTTATGTACTGAAATGTAAAAACATTATCTGCGTAGCATGAAAGTGTGAAAACATTCTGTTGACTGACAACTGCGTGGCAAGTGCTTGCATGGGCCTGATGTTACGCTGTTCCACGAGAACATTGCCTAACGTACACTCAATTTGTTAATGACCACTGATACTTACTTACTTACTTACTTACTTTGGAGATTTAACGTGCGCTTTCCGACTGATGCGTATTTCGCACACGGTACACACACTGATACTGACGAACTCGAATATTTATAGAATACGTCTTCTAACCAGCTTTGCGGCTTTTTGACTTAATTGAGCCAGTGATCTATTATATGGTCTATGATTGAGCCGAATTACAAAATTTGACATGTTCATACAGAAGTTATAATACTGTATCATACTGTTCCTGACATCTAGTACAGTGGTGCACTGTCACTGTGTAATCAGAATGGATGCTTGAATATGCATAGACTCACGTGTACTGCTTTTATACAGCCAGTGTTGGAAGCACTCGTAGGTTGCATGGTACAAAGACATCCGTTCTGACAGCACTGGTTAATTTCTACTATTTGTTCACACATTTTTGCATACTATGGTGCACATGCAGTTCTCCAAAAACATCTGCATATCTACAATAAAACGTCTACTTTCCACTATTTTTCATATCCATAGCCTCAGAATTTTAAGTCTGAATAATGTGTTTTTTCACAAAATTCAGTTTGTTTACTGCTGCGACAGGCTTTGGTTTTCATGTTTGATGGTCATGTCTAAACGGAAACTGCAGCCAGAGATATATTATATCCAAAAGACAAGAGTTGTGGAAACAGTGGCTCTTGGCAGAAGTACTGTCAAATCTGGGAGCATGTTAGGCAGGTGCATCTCTTCACAGATTGAGAATGTACAAGATAATTGTGCTTGTTTGGATCAGGCCTCACCGCAGCCAGCAGGGGACAGATGGAAGTTGTCACGACCTGACCTGGTATGTCCTGAACCAGTGATCGCGAGGGGTGTCTCACACAAGCCTCAATACAACATGAGTAAAGGGCAAGATATTAAAACTGAAGGGAAGCTAATCACATGTGTTCAAGAGGACACTGTCTCTCAGAATCATTTTGAAAGTTGTCAGGATGGTCGTATTGGAAGTGCAGAGGATGTAAATATTATTGCTGAAAATAATGAAAATGCTGCACTGTGTGCAGAAAATGAGGAGATCCTGTATTGCCAGCCTGGTGAAGTTCAACCACTTGACTCTCAGCCTCAGCAGTCTGACCAGTCAGACATGTTACCTCCTGACTCTCAGCCTCGGCACTCTGACCGGTCAGACATGACACCTCCTGACTCTCAGCCTCGGCAGTCTGACCGGTCAGACATGACACCTCCTGACTCTCAGCCTCGGCACTCTGACCGGTCAGACATGACACCTCCTGACTCTCAGCCTCGGCAGTCTGACCGGTCAGACATGACACCTCCTGACTCTCAGCCTCGGCACTCTGACTGGTCAGACATGACACCTCCTGACTCTCAGCCTCGGCACTCTGACCGGTCAGACATGACACCTCCTGACTCTCAGCCTCGGCAGTCTGACCGGTCAGACATGACACCTCCTGACTCTCAGCCTCAGCACTCTGACCAGTCAGACATGACACCTCCTGACTCTCAGCCTCGGCAGTCTGACTGGTCAGACATGACACCTCCTGACTCTCAGCCTCGGCACTCTGACTGGTCAGACATGACACCTCCTGACTCTCAGCCTCGGCAGTCTGACCAGTCAGACATGACACCTCCTGACTCTCAGCCTCGGCACTCTGACTGGTCAGACATGACACCTCCTGACTCTCAGCCTCGGCAGTCTGACCGGTCAGACATGACACCTCCTGACTCTCAGCCTCGGCACTCTGACTGGTCAGACATGACACCTCCTGACTCTCAGCCTCGGCAACCCAACCGATCGGACATGACACCACCTGACTCCCAGCCTCGGCAACCCAACAGGTTAGAAACAACACCACCTGACTCTCAGTGGCGACAATCTGCCCGGCAAGACACGACACCTCCCGACTTTCCGTCTCTGCAACCCGACTGGCCAGACACAACTGCAACACAGACAGAGCCTGACACAGTTACTCACAAGAAGACAAAACCAACAGTTTTACCAAAACATGTCCTTGAAAAGGTTGAGCATTTAGTGTCCAAGAAATGTGAAAGTGACATTTCCTGGATACAGGATGTTGCGATGCATCCTTCTAACCCAACACTCTCCGATGCAGAGGAGGAATGTTTGTTTGGAAATTTATTTTCTGATCAACAGGAAAATTTCAAGAAGAGAAATCAAGCCAGCCATGAGAAAAGTAAGTGAAGATGCACTTCATGACATACCTACATTAGGCCCCTTATTATTTTGTTACTGTTAGTTTTACAGTTGGCAAACTAAATACTGGTTAACATACCGATAGATGGTCTTCTCAACTTTTGCAACGAATATTTGTGGGTGTATGTTAATGATGGTAGATCGTTTGTTGTTTAAGACTGCACTCAGCAATATTCCAGCTATATGACAGTGGTCTGTAAACAATCGAGTCTGGACCAGACAATCTAGGATTGACATCATGAGCATCAATCTACGCAATTGGGATACGATGTCATGTGTCAACCAAGTGAGTGAGCCTGATCATCTGACCCTGTTAGTTGCCTCTTATGACAAGCATAGTAAATATGTTAAGATGATTGGCTCTGCTGAAACAAGTGTCAAACCATTGACTACCAATTCTACCAAAACAAAACTGACAATATGCTAAAGTTCATTTGGTAGATTTTGATATCTTATCTGATCACCTACATTGACTTGGGCCAAATATTTCTTAAACCAAATGATTACTAAGTAAAATAGACAACATATGATCCCGAGAAATATCTTATTTTGTTTCTGTTATTGTGTTAGATTTAAGATATTATGACTAATACATATAAAGAAAAAGGGGCCATTGGCTCTAACTCTCAGTTTATTAATAGTCTGTAATACCTGTCTTGTTTTTCAAATGGGCAGCACCTTTGATCTTGCCCCCAAACATGATAAATAAATAAATAAAAATGTCTTAGCATTGGCAACTGACATATGATATATTTCTATGGGCCATAGGACTAGTTTTCCTGTATACTGCATGCACATGTGATGACTCACTCTGCTATGCTGCATTTCAGACAAAATAACCATGTTTGAATGGTAAAGTGGAGTGAAGTGTCATCTCAATTACTAACATAAGTGAATTAACACTTGTGTCTGTGGATCAGTAGAATCTTCAAACCCTGGAATGAATATTATGTTTAGAGATAGTTTTAGAGACTAATTTCTTTTGTGGCATCCTCTCCAGAGAAAGGCCATGATGAGTCTGGGGGAGTACCAAGGGGGAAGGGAGACCGCCAGATACCACGGAAACCCACTCCAAACTACTTTGTTGCTGTGCAGATAACAAACCCACAGGTGCTTTTTCATGTCATCCAGTCAGCAAGGTCAGGTGGGGAGGTCAGCTGACACTAGTTGGATTTCAGTTATGCCACTGACCAGTCCTTGATTTGTTAATCTGATTCTACAGGGGGCCCGGGTGTCCAGTTGTATAAGGCACTGCAATTCTATGTGCAGAGTTGTGTCCCTTGTGCACCCATGAAACCGATGATTGTGGGTTTGAATCCCTCTTGTGCCCTGATTATGTTTCTATGTTTGTCACCAAATTGGTAAACGTCTCACACCTATTTTACTTCTGGCTTTCCTCCCACACTGTTCTGACATGCAGTGATAAAACTGGAATACTGTTTAAAGTGATGTTAAATCCAACTTGCTCATTGTTCCTATGAGCACGTGTAAATGTTATGTGTCCTACATGCTTAGTTACTACCATGGCTACTCTGTTTCCTGTCTACAGATCCACTCCGGACTGTCACAGGTCCAGCAGGAAGTCATGGCTGTCAACCACAAGATGAGAGAAGTGATGATTAAACTGCCAACTTTACACATTACTCTCATGGTCATCAACTTGCAGACAGAAGAGGACATTGCAAGGTACGCATTACATTTTGCAGTTGAGACCTACCCAGTGTGTACTCGTATCTGGGGCTGGAACAGGTCCCCACTTCCCATGCTTGTCCTAAGACTTCTAAGACTTGTAAGAGCAGACACAAGGAGGGAGTGGCTATTTTGTGTATCTGGGGCTGGAACAGGTCCCCACTTCCCATGCTTGTCCTGACTCCACTTGACCATGTTTGTTGTTCTACACTGCACTCCGCTATATGACAGCTGTCTGTAAATAATCAAGTCCGTACCAGACAATTCAGTGATTGACATCATGAGCATTGATCCACACAATTGGGATACAAAGACATGCATCAACCAAGTCAGTGAGCTTGACCACCTGATCCTGTTGAGTCGCCTTTTACGACAAGCATATTTTGCTTTTTATAGGTGCTGAAGACCTATTCTAACCCAGATCTTCACGGGTCTTGACTATGTTGATGCACTCCTCAACACATTACTCGATACAGTCCTTGACACACTATATGACAGTCCTTGTCACACTACATGACAGTCCTTGTCACACTATATGACAGTCCTTGACACACTACATGACAGTCCTTGACACACTACATGACAGTCCTTGACACACTACATGACAGTCCTTGACACACTACATGACAGTCCTTGACACACTACATGACAAGGTCCTTGACACACTACATGACAGTCCTTGACACATTATATGATAGTCCTTGACACACTATATGACAGTCCTTGACACACTACATGGCAGTCCTTGACATGCTACATGACATAGTCCTTGACACACTACATCACATGGTCCTTGACACACTACATGACACGGTCCTTGACACACTACATGACAGTCCTTCACACACTACATGACAAGGTCCTTGACACACTATATGACAGTCCTTGACTCACTATATGACACGGTCATTGACACACTCCATGACAGTCCTTGACACACTACATGACAGTCCTTGACACACTATATGACATGGCCCTTGACACACTATATGAAGGGGGCACGGGTGGCCCAGTCGTCTAAGGCGCCGCGATTCGCTGTGCAGAGTTGCGTCCCTTAGGCACGCCAGAAACCTATGATTGTGGGTTCGAATCCCGGTTTGCCCCGATTATGTTTCTAGGTTTGTCAGCACCATACCCGTGCTCGTCGGTTTCACCGAAGTGGTAAACGTCTGAGACCTGCATCACTTGGGGCTTTCCTCCCATGATATAACTGGAATACTCTTAAAAGCGGCGTTAAACACAACTCACTCACTCACACTATATGACAGTCCTTGACACACTATATGACAGGGTCCTTGACACACTACATGACATGGTCCTTGACACACTACATGACAAGGTCCTTGACACACTATATGACAAGGTCCTTGATGCACTCCTTGACACACTACATGACAGTCCTTAACACACTACATTACAGTCCTTGACACACTACATGACATGGTCCTTGACACACTACATGACACGGTCCTTGACACACTATATGACATGGTCCTTGACACACTACATGACAGTCCTTGACACACTACATGCCACGGTCCTTGACACACTACATGACACGGTCCTTGACACACTACATGACAGTCCTTAACACACTACATGACAAGGTCCTTGATGCACTATATGACAGTCCTTGACACACTACATGACAGTCCTTCACACACTACATGACAAGGTTCTTGATACACTATATGACAGTCCTTGACACACTATATGACATGGTCATTGACACACTACATGACAAGGTCCTTGACACACTATATGACATACTCCTTGACACACTACATGACAGTCCTTGACACACTTTATGACAGTCCTTCACACACTATATGACATAGTCCTTGACACACTACATGACAGTCCTTGACACACTACATGACACCGTCCTTGACACAATACATGACATGGTCCTTGACACACTACATGACAAGGTCCTTGACACACTACATGACAGTCCTTGATACACTATATGACACGGTCCTTGACACACTACATGACAGTCCTTGACACACTACATGACAGTCCTTGATACACTATGTGACATGGTCCTTGACACTATATGACGCGCTCCTTCACACACAATATGACACGGTCATTGACACACTACATGACAGTCCTTGACACACTATATGACAGTCCTTGATACACTATATGACATGGTCCTTGACACATTATATGACACGGTCATTGACACACTATATGACAGTCCTTGACACACTATATGACAGTCCTTGATACACTATATGACATGGCCCTTGACACACTACATGACATGGTCCTTGACACACTATATGACACGGTCATTGACACACTATATGACAGTCCTTGACACACTATATGACAGTCCTTGATACACTATATGACATGGTCCTTGACACATTACATGACACGGTCATTGACACACTATATGACAGTCCTTGACACACTATATGACAGTCCTTGATACACTATATGACATGGCCCTTGACACACTACATGACATGGTCCTTGACACACTATATGACACGGTCATTGACACACTATATGACAGTCCTTGACACACTATATGACAGTCCTCGATACACTATATGACATGGCCCTTGACACACTACATGACATGGTCCTTGACACACTATATGACACGGTCATTGACACACTATATGACAGTCCTTGACACACTATATGACAGTCCTCGATACACTATATGACATGGCCCTTGACACACTACATGACATGGTCCTTGACACACTATATGACACGGTCATTGACACACTATATGACAGTCCTTGACACACTATATGACAGTCCTCGATACACTATATGACATGGCCCTTGACACACTACATGACATGGTCCTTGACACACTATATGACACGGTCATTGACACACTATATGACAGTCCTTGACACACTATATGACAGTCCTCGATACACTATATGACATGGCCCTTGACACACTACATGACATGGTCCTTGACACACTATATGACATAGTCCTTGACACACTACATGACAGTCCTTGACACTATATGACAGTCCTTGACACAATTCATGACATGGTCCTTGACACACTAAGTGACGGTCCTTGAAACACTACATGACAATCCTTGAATACTACATGACAGTCCTTGACACACATGACACAGTCCTTTTCACTTTCCCTGACATACCCCTCTGTCACCATTTTTGACAGTCATTACAGTTCCTGACACTCTGTTGGTTGGTTTGTTGTTTAACACCGCACTCAGCAATATTCCAGCTATATGACGGTCTTGACACTCTACTTGACACACTACATGACATACTACTTGACACACATGACACTCTATATGACACACTACATGACATACTACTTGACACACATGACACTCTACATGACACACAACATGACATACTACTTGACACACATGACACTCTACATGACACTACATGACATACTACTTAACACACATGACTATACATGACACACTACATGACATACTACTTGACACTCTACATGACACACTACATGACATACTACTTGAAACACATGACACTCTACATGACACTACATGACATACTACTTGACACACATAACACTATATGACACACTACATGACATACAACTTGACACACATGACACTCTACATGGCACATTACATGACATACTGCTTGACACACATGACACTCTATATGACACACTGCATTACATACTACTTGACACACATGACACTCTACATGACACACAACATGACATACTACTTGACACACATGACACTCTACATGACACTACATGACATACTACTTAACACACATGACACTACATGACACACTACATGACATACTACTTGACACTCTACATGACATACTACATGACATACTACTTGACACACATGACACTCTACATGACACACTACATGACATACTACTTGACACACATAACACTATATGACACACTACATGACATACAACTTCACACACATGACACTCTACATGACACACTACATGACATACTACTTGACACACATGACACTCTACATGGCACATTACATGACATACTGCTTGACACACATGACACACTACATGACATAGTACTTGACACACATGCCACTAAATAACATACTACTTGACACGCATGACACTCTACATGACACACTACATGACATACTGCTTGACACACATGACACACTTCGTGACATACTACTTGACACACATGATACTACATGACATACTGCTTGACACACATGACACACTTCATGACACTCTACATGACACACTACATGACTTACTACTTGAAACACATGACACTCTACATGACACACATGACATACTACTTGACACACATAACACTATATGACACACTACATGACATACAACTTGACACACATGACACTCTACACGACACACTACATGACATACTACTTTACACACATGACACTCTACATGGCACATTACATGACATACTGCTTGACACACATGACACACTACATGACATACTACTTGACACACATGACACTACATTACATACTACTTGACACACATGACACTCTACATGACACACTACATGACATACTGCTTGACACACATGACACACTTCATGACATACTACTTGACACACATGACACACTACATGACATACTACTTGACACACATGACACACTTCATGACACTCTACATGACACACTACATGATTGACTACTTGGCACACATGACACTCTACATGACACACTACTTGGCACTCTACATGACACACTGCTTGCAGGGCGAGTGCAGCACTGTCTGAGAGTGGCAGTGAGGTGAGGGAGAGGTTCAAGACACTGCCAGTGTTGGAGGTGGCAGGACTGGGGACATTCCGGAACCAGGTTGTGTTTGCCAAAGTCTCACCTGGTGATGCTCTTGATGACCTCACACATATACATGGTAGGTAGAGATTATCTCTCACTAAATTATGTACCTTGCAATGTGTCTAGCTTGAACCTTTCAAAGAAAAAAGCTAACTGCTTACCTCAGAATGATTTCCAAAGATTAGAATTTCGGTAAAATTAATCATTCTGTCCTGATATAGTGAGCATGTTAGCCTATATGACACTCAATCATGTCCATTAGAAATGAGCCATATATTGGGTACACTAAATGTTCCAAGATCACAAGACTAGACAAGCTGGAGGCTCCATAATCTGTGCACAGTATGTTCAAATAAGATGTCCTAACATTTTGACATTAATCAAATTGATGTAATCTTGATAAGATCTAATCCTTATCAAGACAATGGCAAGCTCTCTATACGTGGGACATCTTGCCAATGGGATGACATAGACTACTGTCTGTACAGGAAAATGCTGCTTATATCATCACAGAATGAGAGAGCGCTCAAATTGCCTGGAGCAATATGCCAACTACAACACAAGCAAAGCAGACATCAGTGTTAATGAAGAGAACACCCATCATTGCTGAAGAAACACAATCAATGAAACACTAAATAAGGAAGTTAGGTCATAGCTAAAAGTTTGTCTTTTTGGGGTTGTCTTTCACACAGAAACTGCCCCAACTATGCCATCATTGTTACCAACCTATCCTTTGGGGATGCCATGTTAGACAAGCACTGCAGTACATCTGTGTTGTAGTGTGGACCTTACAACAGTCATGTCCAAGTCAGCTGTAGTTTACTTTACAGGGTGTGTGACCGACAAGATGGCCGGCCATGGAGTAGTCTCCACGGAGACAAGGGGCCTCACTCCTCACATCACCATCATGAAGATGAGCATGGCTAAGCCTGCCTTTAGGAGGTCAGGTCAGTTGTGTGTTCATTCTGCAAGTCTGCAACAGGTAACACAAGATTTACGTGTGTAGGGCAGTTCCAGCTTATTAAAAAATAAAATAATCTCAAAGTTATCCATCTGGACATAAAGTTTAATGTTTATATATTCAGTATTGCCCTGGAATGACAAAATAGCTTGTTTAAACAAACTATTTGATATGAAATCAATCAATATCAAAGATTACAGTACATGTAAATAAAAATCCATTTTTTAGAAAGACTACTGGTATAAGAATGCTTAAGTCATCTCAGATCATGCACCTTTGTTCTCGGACATCTTATGGAAAGGTTGAATGAACATGATAAATACTCAAATCATTGTTCTGTTCAAAGAAATGTAATATCTATTAAAGTGAGGTTTTGAGCATGACACCTTACATTATCAAATGAGGCACTTTTTAAATATTGTGACCCTAATCTCAGATATGTGCTAAACAGTTATTTCTGTGTTTGTTGAAGAATGTTTATAACCTATCAGACACGTAATATCAGTTTGAAGAAATCTTCATCTTGATATCTTTAATGCTGTTAATAGTCATGTTGAATTTTGTCATTACTTTTTCAGTTGCCAAGAAAATTGACCTATCTTTGTACAGCAAGTTCAAGGACATGACCTTTGGCACAGAAACGGTACAGAGGCTGCAATTATGTGCAATGTTGAAGCCCAAGGTCACATCTGGCTATTACCATGTAGCTCACGAAGTGTATTTAGGTAGATTGTGATTTACACGCCACAATAGGGAGTCATTTGCTGACACTTTTATATTTGGTTTGTTTATGGATTTGAATGACTGAGGTTAAAAGCCAGGGGCGCCATTGGTCCTCATGCCTCAGTTTGCTGAGTAGAGTTGTGTCCCTTTCTTGAACTTAAGGGGTCGTTGTCGGCACGGGTACTGCAGACATGTATCCCAGGTGTGTTTTTGTACCCTAGCAAAACTCAGAATACAGAGAGGTACCTAGTACCCTAAACGACCGATGAGTCCATATTCCTGAACCATAAACTGAAAGCGGTTCATGTTGTAGTTCTGGTTCGCCTGAAGACGAGTGCACACTGGACAATGCTGTGCATGGTGGAATATAATATTAGAGTAATGTATGTACATCACTTTGTTGCTTGTTTCTTATATGACACTCTGGAATGCATCTCTAACAACAATATGACAGTTCAGATCCATTTATGGAAAGGATATACTGAGAGAAACATAAACAATGCGTACTGCCATGTTGAATCTTACCTCGGCTTGGCATCCAGGATGTTTTGTATACTTAAGCGTTCAAGAAACAGCCTGCGGTGGGATGGACTCATCTAAGGGTAACTTTCTGTATTCTGATTTTGGCTAGGGTACATTTCTGTATTGGGTACAACCTCCCCTGATTATGATCATTGATATATGAACGTTATGACCTTGATCCTGGACCAATTTAATGATCATCTACACCTGTGTGGGCTTTCTTCCCACAAGTGACTGAAATACTGTTCTAAGAGTTCTTTGGTTGGTTTCTTGTTTATTGTCGGACTCAGCAATATTCCAGCTAAATGCTGTGGCCTGTAAATATTTAAAACTGGGTTATATCCCCATTTTACACAGTTTATCACTATGCCAATATCTGATAAGCATGATAGATGCATTCAGTTCTGTATCTTGCACTGGTATTATTTCAGGACAAGGGGAGGTAACTCTTTCTGAGTTCAGTCGCTCTCTGGTCCAGTCGTCCATAGTATCAGCCATAGAGAGTGTGAAGCTGGATAGTGTCAAGTCCCAAACAGAAACACAAGTAAATTCACAGAACAGTAAAGGAAAGTTGGAACATAAACCTCAGAAAAAGAAACACAAGACTAAGAGATCCAAAGAAAGCGGAAATGGTGGTTCTGTCTTAAAGCCAGGAAAGGCAGACTCCACTGTCAAATAGAGCTTGGATGTGTCTGCTTGATGAGCACACACTGTCAGCCATGGTGGATGGGCTCGGTGTCCATACTCACGGTGTGGTGGTTACATACTTAACGACATTGCCACAAGGACTCACGGTCTCGCAAGTACGGCAGTCAGAATGACATGAGAGTTGATGGGAAGTATGTTGGTCTCAAGACCAGAAGAACATATATGTGGATAGATTTAGTGCTGTGCACAACCTGATCTCATTCACAGATGTCACAAAGCATGATATCCAGTGTTTCATAGTGAGTTTGCATTAAAAGGGATGTTATCAAATGGAGTTTATGAGGTGTCAAGATAAACCCTCAGTTCCCTGCGTGAGAGGGGCAACCTATGCTCTCCCAACAAGACTTGCCATGAAATCACATGTTCACTTCCTTCCACCGTCATCTAAATCCAGTCTGCCAAACTCACTGTATATTTATCATGAGCATGTCTCCCAGAAATGTAGTGAGTGAGTGAGTGAGTATGGTTTTACTACGCCCCTTTAGCAGTATTCCAGCAATATCATGGTTGGGACACCATCATACATTGTACCCATGTGACGTGGGGAATTGAACACAGGCCTTTGGCGTGACAAGTGAACGCTTTAACCACTAGGCTACCCACATGCCGCTATTCTATAATCTATTAATCTATATATAGTCTCTGAGTTCATCTTCTGAGGCAAAGGAGTCACCACTGACTTCCCAGACTAACTGGCATTACCGGACAACATACAACACATGTACATGACCATCTTCAGTAGGCAAGAGAGTTAACTGACTATAAAAAGAACTACTTTGGAGGAATTTCGTGATTCGATTGTAGTGCCACCAGTGGCTATGTCCCTCATGTGTACCTCCTTTATCCAATCAGATTCTACCTCTCATGTCACTTGCATTTGCATCTCATCAATAATTAAGACCTATTTTGTTATAAAAAACTGGTCTTATCTCGCGAAGACGCCCAGTTGAGGGTACACATGATTTGCAAATTCTGCAGTCGACCGAAATCTGCAGTTGAAATCTATGTTGTTTACGAACCGGATGTCTCGTTCATTACACGTTTTTTATTGGACTATACTTAGACTCATTAATCCAGCCAAACTGGAACTCCGGAATTCCGCCCTGGTTCAGCAAGGATGGAAACTGGACTTTTATAGTAAGTTTACTCCCTTGCCTCGGGAAGATATGTTAAGTTATACAAAATTACAATGATTCTATAAAGTCATCCTCATCCAAAAGCAGCCCCTTCACTACCACTATTTAAAGGACAAAGTAATCCTTCAAAAATAGCATGCATTTCAAGTTGGCCGATAAAACAAGTTTAAGTGCCCTGACTAAAGTGGTCACAGTGAAGACCCGGGGCGTTGCGCAGCAAATAGAAATGTAATCAAAACTTGTTACAGTACATTTTTATGTTTTAACACTCTTGTCAAAGGACCGTACAAGATATCTGAAACAGAGATATCACAAAGACATTCCTACCACGCTCTGGCTATAACACATTGTACGTGTAGAACAGTTTGATCATTCTGACCAACCCATATATCCTCAACAATTAATGAAACAAGCAAACACAACACTATCGAACCAGCACACCCACCACAAGTTCCACACTGGAAGCTGGGTCAACCTGTCATCAGGCGGAGGATCACTTAACAATAACAAACGACTGAAAGAACACACACTCTCTCTTTTTCAAAGGATTGTATTGTTTTATTTTGTAACGTTTGCGAAGTGTAATGGCTTACTTTTTATGCTAGGTAGTAGATGCGCCACTACAACCTATACGGTTCTGCTCCAATAGCATCATTTTGAGCCCTTTTATGTTTGGGAAACATGTTCGGTTTTGAATCAGCGAGTCCTGTGCCCTTCCATTGTATTGTATCACAGGTGGTTTGGACAAATACATGTCAAATGCAGTGTGACAACTGAATGCTCTATTGCTTCTAGTTATGTACTGTTAATCGTGACATTGGTTGTGAGCACAAAGTGTCTCTTGCTCCATTAACATTTGACCCATTTTTTCCACACACATTTGAATATATTGTCATGTCAGATTCGCTGCACATGGCCGGAATCGATGACTGGCACAGTGTGTCTCGCCAAGTTCCGTGTTTACATAAGTTGATCAAGCTGTTCTGACAGTCGTCACCCATGTATGACATCGTCTGTGAAGAACAGTAACCTGACCGATAATCTGATGACTTGCTATTACAAGCAGAACACTGCTCACCTTGTAGTAGTGAGTTGGTGAGTTGTGTTTAACGCCGCTTTTAACAGTATTCCAGTTATATCACGGTGTGTCAGCTTAATGTGGGAGGAAAGCCCGAAGTGATGCAGGTCTCAAACGTTTACCACTTCGGTGAAACCCACGAGCATGGGTATGGTGTTGACGAACTTGAAACATAATCAGGGATAATACATTTAAGCAAACATTACCAGACATGTTCAAACAAGCCTTTTTCTCCCTACATTTGCAATTTCTTTGCATTATGATGAGATGAAGTACAGGTAAGGTTAAAGTTAGAGAACATTGACAATTGTGCGACCTGTAAGATGTACACGTACATGTTTTTACAGTTAGGAGCTATGTTACTCTTAGAGATTATGGTGCAAAAACACAGTTTGTTTGTCTGCATTCTAAAAGGATAAATGTAATGTAGCAGGATATGCAACAAGTATGTGGTTTTCGGAAAGACATGTGTTTTGTTCTTTGTTATATTTAATGTTTAATTCAGCTTATGACCTTTGACTTTCATTACCCCCATTTTCCTGGTATTAGCGCAGTTTTACCTCCTCTCCTCTCGCTCTCTCTCTCAATGTGTTATGACGTCACGAAACTATGGCCTGAAGGAGGAAACGCTCATCAATTATATAAGGACATGGCTCCATTATGACAGGCTCCGCCATCATGCATGATAGAAGAACTTCAAGTTAAGACGAGAGATATTATTGGATGAAATGGTCGCGGATGTGGAGGTACTGGTGGACTGCAGCAATGAGCTTAACCCCTGTTAAGCAACCCCAACTGCAGCAACCGTTGCCAAGCAACCCATGTTGCTTACCAATGCAGCGCCTGCTGCCCTGCAACTACCGTTGCCAAGCAACCCATATTGCTTACCAATGCAGCGCCTGCTGCCCTGCAACTACCGTTGCCAAGCAACCCATGTTGCTATGCAGCTATCGCTGCCAGGCAAGTACCATTGCCAAACCATGAGCGAGGGCAACTATTGTTGCCAAGCTGACCATCCGCTGTAAAGCGGACACTAAGCCATCTGCTGTAAAGCAGAATGGATAAATTGGTTCCTGCTGTAAAGCGGGCAATCCTATCCTAAATAATTTATAATATGGGATGTATCCCAAGACGCCAAATGTAACTTGTAATGCAGTCCACCAGCACCCCGCCACAAGCACCAAGGTGCTTCCCCACAACCACGACCATTCGCGGTCATGTACACCCACCGTGTTATCCTATACTGAAAATGTTTCCTACAAGCATACTGCGGAAAGGGAGCTGCCAATGTTTTGTGTGAATAGATCAAGTCCGGCCGGTGACAAATGAACCCCGTCACGCAGGTACAGTTGCTGCTCCTGCCGGTTGAACACTGTGTGGGGAACCCGTATCCCCCCAAGCTCACGGGCCCTGTTCCCCTCTCGTCTGTTCAGCTTCTGCCTGGACCCGTCCAGGTTCCGGGCACGGCTGGCTACATGCCAGTACCTCCGTGGTAGCATGTCTGACCACAGAATGACAGCACCAGGTAGGAGGAGGTGTATCCTCAGGAGTGGCAGCTTGATCTCATGATATAGCTGACATGTGGTTACCTTACCCAGGTCGTTCGAACCAAGGTGAATCACCACCGCCTTTGGTGGTGTCTGCATTGCTTTGACCTGGGCATCTATCAGCTTGGTCAGCTCCTCCCACCTCATGCCGCCCCTTGCCAACCAGAGACATCCCCCTGGAATACCGAAGTCACTGTCCTGTAGGTGCTCTCTCGCCCGGGTCAGGAAGCTGGACCCAACCAACCATACTGAAAACATGAATCAATAGGAAGAAAACTGTTCTTGCATAGTTGGCAATTTAAATGTTTGCAGGTATGCGTATATAGCTTTTATAACATTCTGACCCCCACCTACCGAAGTGCTGTATCAAATCTGAACTACCGGCTGCTGTCGTTGCTGCGCCAATCCTGAAGGAATACGAAGAGTATGCTGCTGTGCAGATACCGCTATGCGCCAGTGCTCTTTTTAGCACGGCCTGAAATTGATACCTGGTCAGGGGAGATTTATCAAAGTGTACGAAAGCTTGAGTCTGACCCTGTGATCGAACTGTTAGCTATATAGGTATGCTTTAACTGCAGCCACTGGACACAGATTGTGGCCAGGTATGGCGGAAATGGAAACAACTATGCCATGTGACTGCCTGTCCGTTTTTGAATGCCTTAGAGCGACTGTTACTGTCTTAGTCGTCTCTTGGACTTCTAGGTCTAAGAAAGTGCACCCTGGCTGAGAAAGTTTGGTTTGCACGAGTTCACTCACCCGAAAGAAACCAAAGAAGGCCAAGCAATATACTGCTTTCAACAATCTTACTTCATAGGTAGAAGAGCAGACAAATTGCAGGTTGTTTACAATTACTTTGAGCAGGTCTCTTGTTATTGGTTTCCTGTGATCCTGCCTCCCCTGACACTTTTGCATCCCGGTAATCATTTTAGAAATAACAAAGTGGCCGGTGCGGTCTTCCATGCTGTGTAGCCTATGGTACGTTGAGATACCGGCCATATACCTTCTTAGCGTACTCGGTGCATGTCCTGACACTGACAGGTGAGCAATGAAATGTACCAGATGAGTGGTTGGAACTGGCCAGACTTCTCCCAGGTTTTGTGATGCCCTGAATGCTTGCAACGCTTGGGTTCCTGCCTGGTAAGTTGCCCACGTGTTTGCCGCCAATGATCGCTGAAGGAGCCTCTCTGCCTCGATTGTTAGCCCTGCCAGAGATTGTCTGGAAGTGGTGTGGGATGCAGGTTGGCTGATGGAGCTGCATTGCGGAATCGTTCCCACTGAAATCTCGACAGTGCATCCTCAATAATATTGTCCTGTGTTGTTATATATCTGGCCTTGAATAAAATGTTGTGTTTGAGGCACTGCAGCACTAGCTGCCTAATCAGTGACATGATTCTGGGTGCCTTTGAAGACTGTTTATTTATTATTGACACTACAGCTTGGTTATCACAAAAGAAAAGTACTTTCCTGTTAGCAAAGGCTGTCCCCTACAGACAAACTGACAGCACAATC